CTTCTTCATATACTCCAACAAGTCATAATCAACATTAGCTTCTGTAGCATCCATAACAACAGGATCCCTGCAAATTGGACATTTTGGTTCATTTCTTCTTTGTAATTTAATTAAACAACGGATACAGAAGAAATGATTACATGTTAATCTCACCGGTTTATAGGCAATTGAAAAACAGATTGGACACAAATAATCATCTAGTTGTGGTACTAATTTAACAATATCTGTTGATATAACTTGTTCAATTGAGGATGTTGATAATGAGCTTTTTTCAAATGTAATCATTTTGTTGAAATTTTGAGAACTGTGTAACAAAGTATGTTTATCAAATTTCTTGACAATTTTCCTAATTGCAATTGTATTTAAATTTTCAAATGATAAAAATTTAAGTAATTCTAAGTTTAATTCATAAAAATTGTGGAAATATTCAGTGTTTTTCTTTGTATGTTTGAATTTTTTCAAAAGTTTTATATCTTCAATATGACCAACGAATGAATCAAGGTTTTTTGAATCAAAATGAGATTTCAAATCAAGTTTATATTCGACATATTTGTTAAAGATTTCTCTCCATAAATACATATCATTTTTATTTTTTTGATCAGAACTTGTCAATTTTTTGATTAAATGACTCAATTGTTGGATTTTGGCTAATATTAAAGTACTTTGTAATTTGTTGAATTGGATTAATTTTAAATATTGGGAATATAAAGCTTGGAAAAACACGATATCTGAATGTAAAGTTAACATTTTTTCATTAATACTATTGGCATCTTCATTATCATCAGTTAATAACTTTGGTTGAATTTCATGTTGTTGATTCTCTTTGAAAGTGTAATAATACATTAAGTGTCTTTCAGCAATAATTTCATGAGTAAGACCAGCATCATCCATTTCTTCGACAACTTTATTGATTTTCTTCTTTAGAGGTTTATATTGGATTGAAGACACAATCCATTCTTCTGGGATGTGATGATCCTCTAGTGATTTCTCAAACGTTTTACCAAACTTCATTGTCAATAACTCGTCATATGCTCATATCAAGTAGCAGTACAGTAAGATGAAAGCCAAGTTTTTAAAAGTGTAAAAGATGCGATGAGCTTCAATGTTTATAGGAAAACTTTTCCGATGTACGCAACACAACAACAAAAAAAGAAAGCAGCAGAAACGTTTTCGAGAGGATCGCGAATTGGTGCGTTAGCCAGCGCAAATTGGAGATTAAATGAGGCCTTGAATTAGGCCCGTTGAGATTAGACCAGGATAGGGCTTCTTATTGGCTGGCGTGTGGCTGCACTTGGTGCTATCCAGCAGAAGAGCCCTTGAGTTTGTGGATGGAACGTGGGTGCTTTGGAACTTTTCACGCGATGCTAGTCTGGGGATTTGGGGGCTAGGCTCGTGATAAAGTAAGAGCCTAGACCGAACAAGTCCCCCAGTAAGAGACTCGCGATTCCGCGAATGTGGTTTGTGGAAAGCTCAATTTCAATTCAATGAAGCGAACAAGCTGATGATGATGACGATAGTTATAACAAGGAACAACTTCAGGAAACAATGGCACAGGTCAACAAGCAAGAGAAATATGACCGTCAATTGCGACTTTGGGCAAATAACGGTCAGTCCAGTCTAGAGTCTGCAAGCATACTAGTCATAGAACCAACAATCACAACATTGGAATTACTAAAGAATTTGGTGCTACCAGGTATAGGCCATTTCACAATAGTGGGCGTTGATAAAGACATTGATGAAGATGATTTGAGCAATAACTTCTACCTCAGTGATGATGATATAGGTAAATCCAAAATTGATATCATGGCTGCTAATCTAAGAGAATTAAATACTGATGTGGAAAGCTCAGCGTTTAAAGTGGATTCAATAGATTTGTTTTTAGCAACCCAGGAGGACAAGTTTTGGACGAATTATGATTTGGTTGTTATGAACTGGCAAATCCCTTCCATTATTGAAAAATTGGATCAATTGAATGTCCCATTGTTTGTTATAAACTCTATTGGGTTCTACGGTTATATCAGAATTTTCAAACCAACTTTTGAAATTTATGAGACACATCCTCAAAGTATGATTGATCTAAGGATCCTTTCACCTTGGGACGAGTTGATTGATTATTCCAATTCAATTGATTTACACAACTTGGATATAGAGCAACATTCTCAAATCCCCTATTTAATCATTCAATTGAAGGCATTACAAGAATGGAGTTCAAAGCATAACGGGGAAATACCAAACACTTCAGTAGAGAAGAAGGAATTCAAAGACTTGTTGAGAAGCTGGAAAAAAGAATACAATGAGTTAAACTTTGATGAAGCTATAGATAACAGTCACAAAATCTTCAATAAAACAAAATATCAATCAAATGTTCAGGAGATATTTGACAAGACTGATGAATACTTCAACGATGATCACAAGAGAACTCATTTCTGGATTTTGGTTAAGGCATTGAAGGAATTCTCTTTACAAAATGATGGGTTCTTACCACTCTCAGGTGAATTACCAGATATGGATTCAACAACTGAAAATTACATCACATTACAAAACATTTACAAGGCAAAAGCTCAAAAGGATCTAGAATCATTTACAAAAATTTTACTAAAAGTGCAAGAATCACTTCCATTACCTGTTACAATTCCTAAAGAAACCATATCCAGTTTTGTTAAACATTCTAAATTTTTGTTCTTTGCCCAAAATTCCAAAACTTTAATCACGAATAATTTTAATCAAATTGTTGGTGAAGAAACCACAAGTTCACAAATACTTTTATCATTCTTGGTGTATGAAAAATATTACTTAACAAAAGGTAAATATCCAAAATTACAAGACCTGGATGAATTAATCAACCTAACTCATGATTTCATAGCCACAGATAGTGACAAATTACACAATACATTGCATGAATTGGCAAGAAGTGAAGGACAAGAATTAAACAATATAGCTTCATTCATTGGTGGAATTGGTGGTCAAGAAGCTATCAAAATCATCACTTCACAATACATCCCGTTAGTTAACACGATGGTTTATGATGGTATCAGAAGTGTCACTGAAAGATGGAAACTGGACTGAAATGATATAAATATCCTATAATTAATGAATTATTGTCAGTTAAAAATTGTTCTTTATTGTTCTGTAGAAAATGTTTAATATGATGTGTCCTTGACCATAAACTTTTTTTTAATTTTTTTTTTTCACACCTCGAGCCTCGAGAAAATCCAGTCATAAAACAAACTTTGACACAATTCCTTTACAAGATCCTTGAACCATATAGATTTCATACCCATCATGACTATCGATGATGAAACTTATACTGCTCCAAATTTCCAAGCATTAAGAAAATCAAACCAAACCTTTTATTTATTTGGTGAACACATTTCAAAATCAAGAGCACCTTTTTTACACAATACAACTTTTGAAAAACTTGGATTAGATTGGGAATATAAACTTTTCGAAAGTTCAAACTTTGATGATTTCAACTCTAAATTTCAAAATGAAAATTTGATTGGAAGTGCAGTCACCATGCCCAATAAAGTTAAAGCTACACAACATGTTGATTCACTAGATGATATTGGACAAGGTTGTGGATCCATCAATACCATTTATACAAGGGTCCATCCAAAAACTGGAGAGTTGGTAAAGATTGGTACAAATACAGACACTGTTGGTATCAAAGAAAGTTTCTTACAAAACTATCCAACAGAAACACAACAACTAAGTTCTAAACCAGGTTTAGTTTACGGTGGTGGTGGTGCTTGTAGATCAGCCATTTTCGCCCTATACAAATTATTAAAAGTTCCAAAAATTTACATAATCAATAGATTCAAAGATGAAGTGGAACAAGTTAAACAGTCAATGGTTGAAAATGAATTTGATGGTGAAATTATCCACGTGGAAAATCCTCAACAGGCTAAATTATTGGAACAACCAAAATTAGTGGTTTTGACAGTTCCAAATTTTGCACCAAAGACAACTGAAGAGATATTGGCTAGAGAAACTTTGGATGTTTTCATTAAGCAAGATGAACCTGGTATTGTCTTAGAAATGTGTTATCATCCAATCATTGAAACTCAGCTATATAATGATTTTGTAAAAGCTGAATGGAGAGTTATTAGTGGTGTTGAAGCTATGATTTATCAAGGTATTGCACAACAAGTCCTTTGGACAGGTTATTCAATAGAGGAAATACCCACAAAGGAGATCATCAAGACATTATATGGATCTATTAAAGAAGAATCAAAAAGCGTTTAAAAGTGCTTATTCGTGATCTTCTTTGGTTGTGATTGGTAGTTACATGGGTCTTATTCTAAGCATTCTTCCAAATGGTTTGGTATAGTCTCAGAAATATGATATGCTACTCTGGATATAGTTACGTCTTATTAGTACAATTAATTGTACATACGTATACCCTGAAGTTCAAAAATACTGTGTGTTACGTAATCTTTACCCCAGGTTTTCAATATTTTTTTCTTTTTTCGTGTAAAAATTTCTCGAGACTCGAAAAAGGAAATTGTTTTTTTTCACTTTTTTATGATTCATACACATGTTTAGAAACCATCTCCATTTCTTCCATGGTCTAAAAGTAGCACTATTGAACCATTCACATTCATTTGCAAAATTAATAGAAGAATATACACTCATCATTCATTAAATAAATCAAAATCAGACAGCTTCATCAAATACCTGCATGTTCCAACAGCTTCAAAAATTATGTCACAACTAAAACTAATAGTCTGTGGTTTAGGTCTTATAGGACCTCGCCATGCTGAACAAATTGCACAGAACAGAGAGACAGAATTAATCGCATTCATAGATCCTTCACCAAAGGCACAACTTATAGCTGATCAATTCAACGTGCCCTTATATTCATCATTAACTGAATTGTTGAATGCCGGTCTAAGACCCGATGCTGCCTATGTTTGTACACCATATGCATTACATGTCTCTGTTGCCTTAGAGTTGGCTAATGAAGGTATTCATATCCTTGTGGAGAAGCCTATAAGCACAAAAGTTGAAGATGCTATTGCCTTGAAAGATTGTGTTGAATCAAAAGGGGTCAAGTTATTAGTGGGTCATCATAGAAGATTTAATCCATATATTTTGGCTACGAAGAAACATTTATCAAAACTGGGTGCTATTATCGCAGTTGATGGTGTTTGGACGTTGAAGAAGAATGATACTTATTTTAAACAAGTTTATTGGAGAAACGTCAAGTCATTAGGTGGTGGTCCAATCTTGATTAATTTAGTTCATGATTTAGATTTGTTACAATACCTTATGGGTCCTATCAAAAGAGTTTATGCAGAGAAATTGTCACAACATAGGGATGTAGTAGAATCTGATGATCCAGTTGATGAAGGAGCTGTGTTGACTTTGAGTTTCAAATCTGGTGCTAAAGGTACATTCATTGTTTCGGATAATGTTATATCACCATTTAATTTTGAGATGGGTACTGGTGAAAATCCTTTGATTCCTAAAGTGGAGGATCCAACAGATGGTGTTTTTTATAGAATATTTGGGACCAAGGGGACACTTACAGTTCCTGATTTCCATTATTATCATCAAAATGATTTAAAACCAGGTTTGGAGAAAGGCTGGTGGGAACCTCTACATAAAACAGTGTTAGAAAAAGATATCACTGGGGTCCCCTTTGCATTACAATTGGATCATTTTGTTAAATATGTGAGAGGTGAAGAAGATGCTAAATGTACAATTACTGATGGAATTTCAGCTCTGTTGGTGATTGAAGCTATAATGGAGAGTCTGGAAAGCGGTGCTCCAAGAAATGTAAAATCTGTTTCTTCATTCACTTCATCCTTGAAAAATAAGGATGATGATCCATTTAAAAGTTTCCTATAGAAAAAAGTTTATTGTGTTTTTTAATGATTTTATGCCTACATTAATTTTATTCAATCTAAGATGTATCTTTCCTTGTAAGATTTATATCATGACTCATTATTTTCTTTCATAATTCAATGCGAATTCAATTGCAGCTTTGTAACCATAAATTGGACCTAAACCACTAATGATTGCAATAGCTTTATCAACCAAGTAACTCTTGTGTCTAAACTCTTCTCTAGAGTGGACATTAGTGATGTGTAATTCCACAAATGGGATATCAACACCTAATAAAGCATCTCTTAATGCAACTGAAGTATGTGTGTATGCACCGGCATTGATGATAATAAATTCGACACCATCAGCTTTAGCTTGATGGATACGATCAATCAATCCACCTTCATGATTATCTTGATGGAAGTAGATTTGAGCATCTGAGGAATGAGCTTGAACTTGTTTTGAAGCATTCTGCTCAATTTCCTTTAAAGTTGTAGTTCCATATTTCTCAGGTTCTCTTGAGCCCAACAAATTCAAGTTTGGACCATGTAGTAGAAGCACTTTCTTAACCATCTTGTTTCTATCTTGATTAGAATACAACAATAACCCCCACAGAATCTTTCCAAAAGACGAAATCCTCACGTCTTTATATAATTGTAGTTCCAACGGTTAAATGTTTAAACTCGTGATGGGATCGCGAATTCGATCTGCATTGGCCGGGTGACTTTTCATTTTTCCCAATTCGCGAACAGTTTAAAAAAAAAGGATCTAGGAAATCCAAGAAATAAAGCTCAAAGGGACTCAGGCTCTCAAAACAATCCACAACTAGTCCATCAACAACCATCAAGACTACCAGCACCATTCAAGATGGATCCATACAACTTGATCCAGGAGCAGTTGGCAACCATCAACAACAACTTGAACAACTCTTTGGCCAAGATCCACGACGAAGTGGTCACATTGTCCAAAAGAGTCGAGTCCTTGGAAAACAAAACAAGAGACCATGACAACGCTTTAGGTAACAAAATAGAAGACATTGAGCAGACTTTATTGATACTACCAAAGATTTATAACAATCAAGTCAGTCTTATTGAAACACAGTTGGTGGGTCATCAGTATCAATTCAAAAGAATATCCAATATAATCACCAAAGATGCTGAAGCTGCTCCTTTTGCAAATGTAAACAATGCAACCAGTTCGGCAGGCTCAGGTATTAGCTCAAATAATACCCAAGTCAATAACAACACCAATTCAGCGATTTTGAACCCAGTTAATGGTGGAATCAGCTCTCAAAATAGAGTTAATAGTCCAATCCCATTGATCCCACCAAATCGCATCAACCAAGCTAATCGTGTTAATCAAACTCAGCCAATCAATATTCCATTAACTAGACAACCTTCTCAAGCAACAAATTCTATCCCATCGAGAAGATCAACCACCACTGCTACTAATAGAAACTTTATCAATGTGCCATTAGATCACGATCATAATTTGAACACATTATCAAATTCTGTTATTAATCCTCAAAGAAGTCAAAGTACGGTTGGTGATGATGTTTTGTCAAATGCAGGTAATGAAGGTAATGTTGGTGATGAAGATGATGAGGACGATGATGGATTAATTGATGAAAACAATTTCCATAAACTCAATCCAAATCCGAAATCTGTTCAAGAAGTTTTAGATGAGTATTATTATGGATATCAAGGTCAACCATCTCTGAAATATTTGGAAGAAAGTCAAAAAAGATGGAGAAA